GGGGCGTCAGGAAAAACCTTAAAAAAAAATAAATAAAAAGAGAAAAATAAAGGTTTTTCTCACCTTTGGAATATTTTGGGGGGAAAAGGCGATCCCGAGTATCACCCAGATGCTCCCCCAAACCCGGACCCCATGGGTGACCCCCCCCCAAGTTTTCTGTCCTGCCCCCCCCCCTCAGGTGCACCCAAACCACCAAGGGGTCCCCAAGGTGATCCCTGAGCTGATCCACCCCCAAATTCCCGGGGTGCTCCCCCAAATTCCCGGGGTGCTCCCCCAAACTCCCGGGGTGCTCTGCCCCCCACTCACCGCCCCCCCTCAGCAGTGCCCCAGGCTGGGGGGGTCCCCACGGGCAGGGGGGGCACGGCCAGGCCAGGCTCAGGGTGCCCCCCCCCTGCAGGACCCCCCGACTCCTGCTCAGCGCCGAGCTCCTGGGAAAAGGGGAATTAAAAACATATATATATCAGAATTGGGGGGCGCCTCCCAATAATAACAACCCCCTCCCAATAATAAATCAATTTAATTATTAAATTAATTCCAACCTCAAGCAGGAAAATCCCCCAACCAGCACCCCAAATTATAGGGGGGTTGTTAGTCAGTTTTGGGGCCTCCCCTCAATAATAATTAATTTTTTAAAAAATATTAATTCCCACCTGAAAAATGAGAATAAAAATCCCCCAAAGGCCACTTTATAGGGGGTCCGTTTTTAGGTTCCTCCTCAAATAATAATTCATTTCAATTTTGATTATTAAATTAATTCTAAGCTGAAAAATATCAAGAAAAATCCCATGAGCCTCCCCAAAACCCAACATTATAGGGGAGCTTGGAGATGGACGGTCAGTTTTGGGGTCCCCATATGCTGGAGGTCAATTTTGGGATGTTTCCCGCAATAATTACATTTATTGTTAATCTTAAACTGAATTCCAAGCTAAAACTCAGCAGAAATTGGAAGAAATCTGTCCCCCCCTCCATGGAGCCATCCCCAACCAGTCCCCCGAAATTCCAGTTCTAAGGGGGTTTGGAGCCCAGGAGTCACTTTTGGGGTGCCCCACAAAAACCTATGGACTAAAACAGAATTATTGATTCCAAGATGAAAA